GTTGCTTATCGGCCAACATTTGTGTGTGTTTACTGTGGGTTAACAGAGACACATTATGGGGTTTCTAGGTTACACGGAGAGAGAGAGCTGTTCATGCCTGCTCATATTAACTGGTGTGTTCTAGGATATCCTATGTGAATTCTAGAGGTATGGCAGGTATTTATTGGCCTCCATTGGAGAATAGTACTCAACCTGGAGACACCCATATGGTTTAACTCTTTGGATCATAGTTTGATAATTCAGTTTCAAATTGTCTTTTTGAACCATCAACACTTAAGTAGTGCCTTTTTATAATGCATTATGGGCCTAACTTTACCAAATCAACCCTTTTTAAAAAAAAAATAAGACAAAATTTCTAATCTAAAAGTTTTGAACCAACGCCTGAAAATCAAATACAGGAGTGGAGGCTTCATCACTCTCACATTGACTGGTAGGTCTTTTAATATGACAGTAAACAATCGTTTAAGTTAATGTCATCAGTACCAGATATCAGTAATGTTTGTATATAAACTTTTCTGATAAAACTATATACACATTGGGGGGTTTCACTGTGGCCTACTGGTCTATGATCACAACACCCCTGATTTCCTCTCAACATTTCCTGCCATGCTTGCTCTATTATATGCATGCTATCAAATGCAAGAACAAAAACTTTACAAATACAGAAAATGAAACGGTGAAACGGATCATTTCAGGATTTTGACGTATGCCTCTGCTTAATTGCATCACTCTCAGGAGGTTGCACCAAAAACAACCAGACTGGAATTCCCCTTTAACTGCCAGACGGACGTTTAATTCTCAAAACACTGTAACGTACGCCACAGTATTTGCATCTTCACACTGCAGCACATCTGCCTTCTTGTGGTCTGTGTTGTTTTTCTGTCTCTCTCTCTCTCTGCTTGTGAAAGCTAATGGCAGGAGTTGAGAGTCGAGTGCTGCTACGTCTGCTGGTATCAAAGATGTAAACAAGGCTCTCTGGTGCCTTGGCTTCAACAGGAGAGACACCTTTTCCTCGCTGTGAAAGGGAGTCATGATGAGTGGGATGGAGAGAAAGGAGACGAGTGAAGGGGGGGGTTATTAAATAAAAAGAAGTCTACCGGGGGAGGGGGGGGGGGGGGCTGTTTTCTCTCACTTCTTCTCAGTTTACAGGCCCAATCTTGGCAAGTCATACTTGGCGCTGCTTAGTTCTTTCCGATCGATGTTCATTCACTGACCAAAGGCTGTTTTCTCGTCCCTGTCTGTTGAGGCCTGTCTGTGATGTGTATCTAAAGGTATGGTTAGACCTCAGGTTACATCTCCACCTCTAGGGACATGTATTTTATACAGAAATGGTTTTACCTACCATTGCCATGACCTCTTCTAAAGACATTCATGGTATCCAGAGGAGGAAGCCTGATGATGTTGGTGATGTTTCCTCTGGCACCGTCGTTGGGTTGACATTTGTGGTTATGAGTGAAACGTCTCAACCACTATTGGATGGATGAGCTTAACATTTGGTGTAGACATTTGTGTTCTTTGTAAAAATTTGTATATATATACCCACCATCCACTCAAAGTTCATACTGTGGTTTCCGATCATCACAGCCTGACAAATATAACTATAGTCTCAGTCTTATTTAAAATAGCCATCTTTGAATTTGAGCATTTGTTGAAGTTGGTCTGCACTGAATATGAAATGTAAAGATTTAATACAACCATTCATTTTCTTGGAGACGCACACAGTTGCACATTATGTGAGCCGAGTGAGTGAGCGACAGGCTAGACGCTAGCATTGTCACTATGCCAGACATGATAAATATCACATGTTGCCATAGCTAATAGCTCAACAGTGACCCAACACTGCGTGGCATGTTTACTAGATTCGCAGTAGTAGATAGACATTGGTAGTAATGTAAAGATGAGAGTAGTTGGACAGCGTAAAAGCACTTTAATGTAAAGGTTGGATATTTTCAGACTCTACACGTTTTTATTTTGGCGTGTGCAAATCCGGAGGTAATTATTTAATTTTTTTACCCTGGAATTGAACGTGTCAGGCTGACTGTTGTTTGGATATTTATGGTATGATTCACCGGTGTGTGATTTGTAGTCATATGGTGAAATTGCTTTCTGATCCCGGACAGAAAGGACACTCGGGAATCACTCCAGTTTCAAAAATGTAGTTACAGTTTGTCATTTATGCAATCGCAGAAAGTGAGGAGGCTGGCCACCTGAGAACATGCTCGGAAAGTCTCCAACCCTCTGGTGACACTGGCCTTCGTCGACTGGCTGCTTGCACACAGCCATGCGGCACTCAACCAATTACTAAACCACAAACACTTCTGTGAAGCCCGGTGCTTTTTCAGGAGTTTGACGTCTCCAGACGTCAGAATTTGTGTCTGACAGAAAGGAAAGGGTGAGAAGAGAAAAAGGGAGCAGGCGAATATAAAAAGAGCTTCCTGTTTTGCATTTATATTTGAATGCAGTAACAGTGTTGATGTGCAGCCATGCATCGTTAATCAGCCGGACTCTTCACCTTCCCTGGTGACTCCTCTTTCCCTCTCTTTGACCCATAGGGATCTTCTTACTACTCCTTATTGTGATCCTCCACCCCTCCCCTATTGTCTCTCCTACAACGCATTGTATGGTGCCAATGACAAATATGAATTATAAATGTGTAGCCTCTCGTATGTAGGCTGTAGTGCTGCGGGGCCTTCCCTCTGCTTTGCCAAGCAGGGCAGAACCCAGAGGCAGGAAGCTAACCTGTTACACAACGACAACACAAACAAAACTCTTAGTACTTTCAATTCAGAGCTGTTGATTTACAGCGCAATAAATTCCCAGTGCAATTATGATTGCATGTTAAGAGGTTCAGGTGAGAACAGGTGTCTCCCTGCTGTGAAAACAGTTTGTATAAAACCATCACAAGCCAAGGTCTCCTCACAGCAGATGGGAGGGTCCTGGGGCAGAATGGTGCTGGATCTCTTTCTGGGTTACTGGTTCATTTTATGCTCAAAACAGCAAGAGTGAGAAGAGGAGGTGAAAGAAAAAGATTTTTTTGCTGATATGCTTAATAGCGCAATGGAGGGTGATTTTCAATTTGAGATTACTTTAATTTAAAAAAAGGAATCAGCCAGCCCAGAGGAGGGAAACCTTGAACATAATGAGTTTAAGATGTGTGTTTGATTACAGTTTGACTGCATAATCATGCTCAGAATCGTTTGTTTCTGTTTACTGTTTATTCACAGAACAGAGATCAGAAAACCAAAGCTGAAGCAATTAGTCTGTTAATCAATGGACAGAAAGTGAATATGCAACAATAAAAGAATAATGCAGGCGTTGATAAAGCAAAAGTATCAAACATTGGCTGGTTGCGTTACCCTGCGATACCCACCGCTTCAGGCTACACGTTGAAATGAATGGGATGACCGGCGTTTGTGTGTTGACTTAACTTGTCTTTTTTACAAATATTTAACAAAACTCAAACTGTGTATAGTTTGTCAAGTATACAAGTTTATTAGTTAAGTTTTACTAAGAATAGAAGAGAAAATATGACTAGGAGCTGTCGATTGGTCCTCAGCCTCTCCTCCGATACGATGCACTGCAGTGTTGGACTCGTCTCTTCACCAGCAGCTGCACTGCTGCAAACATGCTCATCTGTAGCTGCGTAGGACGTCTCCGTGTATTGTGAGCGTGTCTGCTGTCACGCTGTTCACTCACTCACTCACTCACTCAGCCGGTCATGCCAGTGCTTTGGAAGTGATGCCCGCCTGGCACGCTGACATAGACTGGACGGGTCTGGGGCTGTATGCTGCTGTGACAAAAGCACATTCAGGCCGGGACAATGGGGGGCTGACAGCCTGGGTAGTGTGTCTCTGTCTCTCTCGGTGTCTCCCTCCTGTCTATTGTGTTTGCTGTCTCACTGTTGCTCTCGTTCGGTCTCAGTCACTGAAGGCTCACCCAGCAGCCTGTTTATCGCTTTAAGAGAAGAAGCTCTGCGCAGTGCTGCTGAAGCTGCTTCAGTCATTAACTACAGGGTGTAATTATGTCATCAAGTTGGCGGTGATGTGATTGTTGGTTCCAGTGTGTCATTGTTAAAGTGCAGGCTCTGGTTTTAGTCCTCTTGTGTTTTTGTTGACGCATTTGGCTTTGTGGGCTGCGCCGACAATTAGGGGGGCGCTGAATTTGTTGTTGACATCTTTCTCTTCCTAATAGACACGCAATGAATCACCACCAGGACATATCAAGTAAGACCAGGTCTGATGCAGGCAGTTCATCTGTTCTGTATTTCAGCTTCGTGCATAAGTTCGTTGACTGACTTCTCTGTTTTTATTTTCTTCTTTTTGGTAAATCAATTCATCTTTTTGTTTATAAATTGCAGTCCAACTTTTCGAAACCCAAAAGATATTCACTTTGACGATATGAAACAGAAAAGCTCATCCTCACATTTGAAAAGCTGGAGCCAGAGGATGTTTTGCTTTTTTGCGTAATAAATGACGTGAATGATTAATCGATTATTGAAATTGTTCAGAACTAAAACTTTTTGTAGATCTGTTGATGTAAGAAAACGTTTTCGATAATCAATTAATCGCTTCAGTGATTTTTCAAGTAAAAATGCTAAACATTCTGTTTCTAGCCTCTCAAATGTGAATATTTGCTGATGTTCTTGGTCATTATATGATAAGCACGCTAAGTAAACTGCATTTTTGGGGGTTTTGGACTAAATGTTAGAACAAACAAGAAATTTGAAGATGCCAACTTGTATGCTGAGATATCATAAAGGACATTTAATAAACTTGAAAAGAAAGATTGATCAAAAAAGAATCCGCTGATCCATTGATAATGGAAGTAATTGTTAGTTTGAGCCCTAAAATTGTTCTTCATTCTCAGACGTTGGATTTATGGTCTCCCTATGACCATCTGTTGTCATGTGACCAAAGGTTCACATTTGGGTCCTTTGAGGCCTCCCGAGTCGGCTCCGTTCACTGAATGAAGATCATGAGACTGATTTTAAAGCTCTGAACCATATGTTTTCCTCAAATGTCGAGCGCTTCTCTGCTGCCGATCCGCCTGGAGCTCATGCATTTGTCCTGACGGGGCAACAGTGATCATGCAGACGGGTGAAGTTAGTTGTTGAAAGAGATCAGAGAATAAAATGCAGGAATAAGGTTTTTGTTGTGCTCCTTTTTGTGTCAAAAATCTCTTCTGACAAATGGAAGGAGAAACTATTGAATTTGATCAGTAGAGATGAAATGAACGATTATTTTGGAGCTTGACCGATCATATCAACCCGCTATAGGTTTTATGTTCATGAAAGAAACTCCTAAGTGTCCACTGCCAAGTCTTGCTCTAAATCACCGGCCCCAGCAGTGAGTCATCCCACGCTGGTAGAGGAGTGCAGAGCGCTGTCGGGTGGCGGTGAACGGGAAATTAGGCCTGACAAAAAAAAAGATCTCTCCTCCACGGTTCGCCAAATCAGGTTTTAAACTTATACCGAGGGACAGACGAGTCGATCTGCAGTGCAGTAGACCTCTCTGTAATCCTCCAGCTGCTCCATGAATTAAGTTTGTCCTTGTCTTACCTCACACCTGCACTGCAGACATAGAGATCTGACCGCTCTGCTGCTCTCTCAAATGGTAATAATGACCGTAAAGATGATTGTAAACAATGTGTGGAGACACTCGGGATACAACAAATTATTATTTTTATTATACATTAATGTGTTGATTATTTTTGTGATTAATTGACCTAATAAGTGTGTCAAACCCAAAGATAAAAACATTGGGCAATTCCTCACAATTTAGAATTGGATGAATATGATCACTTTGTTGATTCATTTCATTCATGTTAGAATTGTCATTCTGATGCACGTTACCATGCTGATAGCATTTAGTTTAAGAACAGTGTCACTGAGCTACTTGTATGGCTCTAAACCCAGAGTCTTGCTTCTTCAAGCTGCTAAATTCACTAATCAGAGCATTGATAGAGCACCAAAGAGGTGAACACTGTTCGCTCTGTCAGCAATTTGGCCCTAATTTGCACCGTTAGCATTGTTTGCACCGTTGGATGCGAGACGCCTGCTCTCATAGAAATTATCCCGATCTCATGTATATAGAATCCTTGAATAAATTACTTGATTAATTACAATGATTGGATTGTTGATTCTTTTTTATGAAGATCGGGTAATTAACTAATACAAACTTGCTGTTTTAGGATAAAAGTCTTACCTGTCCAGACCTGGCTTTGTCTTTTACTGCATGTTTTGGGAAACCGTTTTTTATCCATCTTACTTATGCCACATAAGTAAGATCCTCTTATTTGTCACCTCTAACTGTCCTTTTTTCTTGCTCTATTCCTTTGTGTCATTTCCTATCTCCCTCCTGCTTTGCCGCCTGAGCTTGTGACAAATGTGCCTGTTCGGAGGTCAGTGAAGAATCTTTATTCCACGCTCGGCTGTGTCATTACATTTAACCCAGTTCCATTTTTATTTTGGTCTTTAAGCCGGAGGAGGAGGTTGTTCTCAGTGTGAGGAGAGACATGGAGGGGGGGGTGGTAATTCCTGTCCAACCTCTCTCATCTCCTCTCTCCCCCACAGGAGGGAGAGAGGCAGGTGGAGGTAGTGAGGGGGCGGGAGTTTGTGTTGACCTACCCTCCCTCTCTTCCTTCAGAGAGACATCTGTTAGTAGATTGCTCTGTGGCAAAAGAAAGAGGAAAGGGAAATAAAAACAGAAATGCTGAGCATGGTTTGAGAGGATGCACCATTTATTTCCTGCAGGAAATCAATGGCTTGTGGGTAGTGTTTGTCTGTGTAAAAGACTTTCTTTCACTCCGCCCCATCTGCTTTTCTTAAGTCCTAATTTTTCATGGCAGCCATCTGTGTGTTGTCAGGCAGTGTGAGGGCGGCAGAGAGCAGGAGAGGTCACTGTGTCTCCATTGATAAGGCCGGCTGCCTCGTGTCTCTGTGACTGATCCACTGTCTGTTTGGTGATGATATGAACCTCACCTCAAACCTCGCATATTCATTTTTTCTTCGATCTTGCCATGCATGGCGTTGGCAGAAGGGATGGCAATGTTGGTCTGTTATTCCAGCACTTTGGTCCAACAGCTACTGGATGGATTGCTACGGACCTTTGCTCATGAATCTTACTGACTTTGCCGATCCTCTAACTTTTCCTCCAGCACCATCATGAGCTTCACGTTTCTCAACAACTATGCCATGAAAATGTTACTATA